GTATCCACCACATTATGTACAAGGTCTCTTATCGATAACCTACATATGATGTTATCAAGTTTGATTAACCACGCAATTTGTTTGAACAACATAATTTTGCAAGCAATATGATTGCTTTACGCTTATCAGATATTACGAAAATATGACATTGTTAAATAGCACCAGTTGATCTACAACGAAGCTGTTTAACACTTACAGTGCTACCGACTATTCAAACGAATTGAATTTCATGCGTAAAAATAGTAGTGCCATAGAACGTGTTAGTTTTCGACTATTTTTTTGGAGAAAAAGGAAAAATAGTATAGTATAAAACGAGAAAGAACGAAAGTTATGGGTGAACAGGACATGTAATTTTAAGTTAAAATACAATTTAATTTGATTTAATACACTGTTAGCTTCTTATTAGGTAACTTGTGTATAAGAACTTGATCGGTTATGTAGCGAGAAAGTTTTGTTACATGCAATTGTTAAGAATGACTTTACGTTATGATTGATTATGCGCATGAGTTGCAGTTGTTTCTTTGTATCTGACGGTAGCATGATCGTAATTTCCGACTTTACGTTTTCTAACACATTATAAGAAAATGCTTAGTAATATTCTTACAAATATTAACATAAGTGATTTGTGAAAGCTTCTAATATAATAGCATAAATCAACCGCAAAGTAAGAAATGATCGTAATTTTTTGCCTTGCCGTAGTTTTAAATTTCTCATTGATATTTACTTGATAAGTAGTGAAATAATAATAATAATTAGACGCGCGTCATGGGGCCTGCAGCTACAACCGGCTGCCGGACCACGTCACAGCGGCGCTCAGCCTCACATCATTCAAAAATAGATTGAAATCAGCTTGTCGACAGGGCTCTGGATTGTATGAAGAATTTTTTTAGCGAATTTTTTTTTTGTAAAACGTTCTTTGACCTGTTATTTAAACATTACCAATAAACATTGTATTGTGTTATATTGGTCATAATATAACTTTTCTATGATAATTCGCAACGTATCGTGTAAAAATATTCGGTACCAGTTCAATTGATTACTTTCGCTCATAAAGTGCTTGTACCCAATTCCTTTGTGATACAAATAGAGAAGTATTCTTGGGTGGTAGATTGATATTCTTGGGGTGTACTTACGAACTATATGGTCACATTCTTCGTAAGTTGATTTAGATTTAGCGCGGTCATGCGTTATGTCGTTCGCACGTGTATTGTAACATCCAATTTTCCGTGCACGTATACGGGGCGCGTGCTCCGACATGCCGTATTGTGTTGTGACGTGTCGTATCAATAATTCATTTTGATGACGGATGACGGGTTACTGCGTTGCAGCTGCGGTCCGCGACCCACTTGGCCGCTCTCATTCCTGTCCCCTAATATCCGACCTACTTTTACGAGACATCCCAACTGGCTTTATTGCATCGATGAGTAATGTATTATTTCGTTATTACTTCTGTGTTGAAACGACACATGTTTGTATAGAGATAGTGATTTTATAAGTTAAACTAAAAAAGAAAACTATATTTTCTTTGGTGCCAAAGCAAATGATTAAATAAATTCTAACATTTCATTTGAAATAATGAAAGTACCAGACAGTCTGGCTTAGTGAAATTTAAAAATTAGTGTTGGGACTACAATGCAAACAGTGCTCTCGGTTGAAATGATAAAAAAGTTTCAATGTTCAGATGTAAAACATGTATATTACAGGCGGCCGCAGCGAGCCGCTTGGAAAAACTCCACAATGCCAGATACGGATTCATTGTTTGCGTAACCACAATGCTTGAAATGATCGAATTACTTTTGTTACAGCACATTTTAAAATAAAACATTTAAAAACATTGTTGCATTGTTTATATCAGGATAACTTCTTTCGTAAGTACGTTTGTAGTACCTACTAAGAATCAGAATTATTATTTGATCCTTTGTCTATATTCATCGTAAAGGTACATATCTAGTCGTAATTTATTCAGTTGTATGCTGCGAAGGTTCTGTTTTGTTTTCGGTTGCCATAGTAACAAATGCAAATTCGAAATAACTCAAGCGGTTTACTGTGTTGCTCGTGGCGGTATATCTAGGGAATCTAGTTGTCGTCATCTATTATGATTACGTATACTCTGTTCTCCTTTATTGCATTCAACACGAATAGCTTACGAATCTTTATACAATGCAGAAACAAATTTGAATTCTAAATACATCGCAGTAGGGTAAAATTTTGCTTGAACCTAGTAAGAGCACTTTATCTCCTCATACAAATTTCGGTAATAAAATTAAGATGACAGACTCGATACTATACGCCGTTTGTCGGCTACTCGCTATCGCTATTTCCCGACACTTAAATAAGTTCCATACGAAATAAATGATAATTCTATGATAAATTACTTAACGTTTATGTTAATTAAGCACATAAAATATTGTAGATGTGTTTCGTAATGCAAAACGTTAGTTCAATCGTGAGAAAAACAAATGTTTTATCATAGTTTCGTCATTATTGTTAACACCATAAAAACAAACTTCTGACTGGTGTTACTAAGCACGTTTAATGTTTATAAATACTCTATAATTGGAGGTACAAGACAGAGTATTTAAAAGAAAAAAAAATAACTCGCAATCGAGAGTCCGTGCTGTAATTTTGAATAGAGCTATAAGTAGAGAAAGACATAATGAGGAGTAAATGAGCATCAAAGCGATTCAAACGCTCTTAAGTATGTATTTTTATTGTAGAGTATACATAAAGGCGTCAATAAACGCATAACCTATTAATGTTGAGGGGCGGAGCAAACGCAACAGTAAGTTATCTACAATCACTACACCTCACGATAATAGAAAAATCTTGATTATATCTTTAAGGAACCCCGGACACTGAAGTTAAGACTGTTCTAAATCCCTTTGTAACGCCATTCTATCAACGTTTTGGTACTGCGCTTTTGTTGTTATTAATAGCACGTTATTTAACTATTTAAACAATGCATTGGTTAAGCGAATTTGATTGTTCATAAAAATATAGCGTGGTTAATGATATAAAATATTCGTCTAATAGAGCGTTACAACAATATTTGACTCACTCTATTTTCGAGCCCTTGTGGTCATAAACACATTGTCTGTCGCGTCATGCCTTCGTTTAAACAATTGAAGAGTTATTATAACATACCAATTACAATACTTGTTATGTATCAATATATATAAAACTCAATTACTGTTCGTTAGACACGCTAAAACTCGAGAACGGCTGAACAGATTTGTCTTATCTTGATCTTGAAATGTTCGTGGAGGTTTAAAAGGTGAAAATTCCAATAATTGCCGGGAAAACCCTAAAAACAGCCCTTTTCTTTTTCCAATATAAACGGCTGAATGGATCTCGCTGAAACTTGGCATAGATGTAGAACATAGTCTGTAAGAACACATAGGCTAATTATGTTTTTTTTTTAATTACGCGCCGACGGAGTCGCGGACGACAGCTAGTTAGTAATAATCATTATAATGTTATAAGATTTCGGGAATTGTACGTATATCTTATTAGTCAATTACTTCTTAATTAACATTTCGTTGGAGCGAAGCCAACATGCTTGTTAAATGGTTATACGGCTAATAATACAACCGCAAACAAATCTTTGACATTTATTTTACTTGAAACATCGTATGTTTGGATACTGACCTCGAAGTGGCATGGCATTTATTCTAAACTGGCTGTCGCTCGCGATTCCTGCCGCGTTAAATTAAAAAAAAACTTAATTAGTATTAACCTATTCATTTTTCTATGTTTTACATATAAGCGAAATTTCAGCGAGATCTATGGATCAATTCTAGAGATACCTTCAAAGAAACATCCATCTATCCAACCATCCAAACATTCGCATTTATAATATTAGTATGATATATTTAATTATTTTAGAGAATCATAATAATATCAAATGATAATAAGATTATTGATTTTATTGTTTATTAATATCGGATTAATTGTTATCGAAAAGCCAATAACGTCAATACATTGTAAATGACGTTAATTGCAGCATTACAAAATATCAAATAATAGTGATAAGTTAAATAAAAATTTTAATTTTACTGATCTAAATAAAATGAGCTATCATATTTCACAAAATACACATTTAAACATGTGTAATAATGTATTTTGCAAAACTTAATAAAGTTTTATTATTATTTTAAAAGCGACAGAGTACCGGACGCGAAGTAATGAAACTAGAGTCATTCCCCCGAGTCGCATGTGCACTCTACATTTAGCGGGGGTGGTGTATTCTCACCCTATATGCACATGTGCATCAAATCTGTACGCCCGTGTACCACCAGTATACATTGACCCCCTCTAATAGAACCGACTTCGCTTCATTGTATGGAACATCGACTCTCTTTGTTGCTTTATAGGTCTTTTAAGTTGGATAATGTCATGTGAACGTTTCGTCTCTACGTTCACACACGCTCCCTTTGTATGGCTGATACACACGGCTGTTATGTGCCGGTATGGGAATAGTTATTGCTTTATTGAATATAATAAAGTTTGTGACTTGAAATCATATCAATATATCTCCACCTAAAAAATAATAAATAAAGACATGTATAATCATAACTTAACGTGTTACTAAATCTTTATTTAGCGTATTTAGGAGTAAGTTAAATAAATTAAATATTGATGTCCACTCTTTAAGTATGTTTTGACCTAAACGAGCTCTATAAGAGTTATTCGAATTCGATTCGTACTTTCAAAATGTAGGTGTGTATCGAGCGAAGAATTTATTTCCACTTTTTCAATATTTTTTTTTATAAAAATAAACTAAAAACACAGTATTTTCGTGTAAACTACAATCTATATGTCAATATGTACGTACACAATGTAGGCAGTTACAATAGCGCAGCCCCTACACTAATTATACTAGCGCAGCTTTGCGCCTCATTGGTGTAGGATATGGGTCAATAACTAAATTTGCATTCAATATAAGGTGATAAAAAGTACAATTTTTGTAGTATTTTCACTGTCCTGCCATTGACACTTACCAGTTAAACACCTTAGGTTTCTGAAACAAAAAAAGAAAATAAATATACATATTTATAGATGGCTGAACGTTTAGTTTGGATGTGACCTTGAAAGCTTGCTGTTCCTATAAAGCTTTGTGGCTGTCATAAAAAGTGATAATCTAAGTCTTTAATTTTCCATCACAAAAATTATCTAAAAATAATTTAATGAGGTTATAAAAAGAATATTTCGTTACTGTCTTTGAGAGATTGGCAGCGTGTCAAGTGTTCACAAACACAGTAAATATATGCAGTTAGTATACACAGTAGTATATAAATTCAGTTTATTAGAGACTAGTTGTCGCCCACGAATCCGTCCGCGCGGAGTTTGAATAAAACATAATTAGTAGCCTATGTATTCTTCCAGACTATGGTCTATTTCTATGCCAAATTTCATCGAGATCCGTTCAGCCGTTCAGGAGATACCTTCAAACAAACATACATCCATCCATCCGTCCACCCAAACATTCACATTTATACACAACACAACACAGTTGTTATAATTTTATTTAAAATTGTATTATATACATTACATTTGTATATGTATCAATGTATGTATGTATGTATATGTATATATGTATTAATGCGAACGAAACAATTTGTGTAAGGTTTGAATTATAATCGGCTTATCGGATCACATGTTCCGACGAGAGATAATCTGACAACGCTTTTTATCAATTACATATCATTTCTTAAAATTCTACGATAAAAAAAAAATAAGAGATATAACACGTGGTATTTTATAGACATGAATAAAAAATATAATTTTTACATATTTATAATTTTTGGTTATTTATAGATTCAATAGAAAAATAACAAAGTTTTAAAGCGAATTAATAAGTTGAATTGTATACATAGAAGGACTTCCAACCACAGAAGTGTTACGTAATTTTTAAGATGAGAGTGTCCATAAGACCGTATATTTCTTTTTAATTTAATTATGGTTTAACATGGCAATGATTTGTAGCATATTATAATAAGTACATATTGATATGTCTTTTTTTAAAGAGATGGCAACAATGTTGTTATAAAATGTTACGATAGTGGAAACTGTCCGTAAGATCATTACGAATGTCATAAGTATTTGGCACGTCTTTGATTTACAGTATGATCATAAACGTTTTGTTGGCATAAACCGTTATTAAAATAAACAGGATGTTTAAAATTTTACGATCGCCTCCTCCGCTACGTAAATGAAAATTGCGAACTGATTTTGTTTATCCTGATTATTTGAAGAACTCTTTAACGATGCTAATCTGTATTGATTCGGATTATTATTTTTTAAGAAGAGGGAGAGATGAGAATTCAATTATTTTTATGGTTTTACCCAGTTTATCACGTCATTATTAATAGATTATTTCTTGGGTCGTGTTTGTTGCGAATTTATAAAGAATTCTAGGTTATGGGAAGCAATCAGCGATTAAATTCCATCATAATTAGATATCAAACGATTTGTTTTTTGCTTAGAAATGTGTGTCAAATATCACATTCATTCGTTGGATTTTTTTATTAAGAGGTACAATGTTTTCTCTTCACGTATTAATGAATGAATATATAAATGAAAATAATATCACCAAAAAAATAAGAATTAAACGACTAATTAACTATTTAAAGACTTGCGGCCGATTTTCTCTACAGATTTAAGTTTACACTAGATTTTCACACACGTCGAAAATAGTTAACAATTCTTTAAGAGGTTGAGTTCGGATTCAGAGGAAGTTAACGTGCAACTTCCTACTAGTGGAAGAATTTCCTACTCCTGGGAAAGTTAAAATACTTCGTTATAATTATCTTTAGAACAATTCCAGACTATGAGTACATGTTTGAAAAATAATAGGTTATGTTTCGCCGGACATATTTTTAGAGGGATTGAAATAAAGTGCTATTAAAATGATATGTGACTAATTTATGTCACCAAAATTTCTTTTACCTGTATGTTGGCACCCTCGACAAATAATAAACACGTTCCTGTCGTCATCTCGGCTTTATTCAATTGTGAAGATACTTTGAAGCATTCTTATATCTTATGATATCCATAAGGATGTCGCATAAACATATAGTGGTATTTTTAAAAATTCAGATATGAGAAAATTTATTTCGGTAAATGCTTTGATTTCGAATTATATTATTATTATACTATTCACGCTTGTAAAAAAATAAATGAATTATAAGGTCTATTTTATATCCAGCAAATTGTATTTAGAAAGGGTATAAGATTCGTTGAGTCTGGCCTTTAATAGGATTTAAATATGATCCGTCTGTTTCAGCTGGTTAACCACATCAAACAGTACTGGGACGTCACACACGCTTCTCTGATACAGATAAAAAAAATATATCGACGCCCATTTTAATATACATCAAAAGCATCACATGTTTTTAAATGACTAACCATAATTCGTATGCCTCATGTGACCTTCCAATGTTTATATTACAGGATAAATTGCCTTATGATAACAAAGAAGGGAAAGTTAAAAAAAAAATCAAACTGAACTTATCTCTACGGAGGGTCGGCACAGCATGTACTGTTGGGAAGAAAATCCGAAAATGTGCCAGTGTATTGACGGAACACTAGCTTTACTAAAATGTAGACGTTTATGTCCCCTCATTCTGACACTGGACTTTATAATGAAAGCACGTCTTTAGCGCCAAAGGATTCTAATTAATAATGTCTAAAAGTACTATTCACAATACATATCTTATTAGTCGTCATATCTGAATTCACCTCCTTACACATATGACCATCCATATTTTCTTTGGTCTTCCTCTATCTTTGTAGCCATCCACATTCAATCTCGTCAGTTTTTTATATAATTGAGAAAGTTAAATAATATGTCAAACATTATTCCTTTAGAAATTCGTAAGATTTCGTTTTATATTTTTATAGTAGCTGGAAAGCTTAGGAATAAGCTTCAAAAAAATAGTATCAAACAGGCATAAGCCTTAATCATAGTCTATAATTTAAATTTACGTAACAATTAAATGTAAATTCTCAAGATTAATTTAGTATTACGTTTGTCCAATTGAGTAACGATAGTGGTGGTAATATCTTCCCACGTTATTGCATTGGCTAATGGTAGTTGTAATGAATCATTCATGTGGATGCAATCATTGGAACATTGTGCCAAATAATCTCACCCTTCTTGTTATAAATATAAGTATATTTACCTAGGTTCTAGGTTATTTTTACCAAAAACATCTCTAATAGTAGGTTTTTTATACATTTAACTTTCATTTGTTTTTATTAAACGTCGATTCATATCATAAAAATACTGCAGAGGGCGTTTGGCTCTGTTTTATGCCTATTGTATTTTTTTTTATTTTGCACAACGGGCAGTATTGTACAAACACAATAAAGAAACCAGCATCATAGCGCAGCGGTTAACGTTCTAAAGAAGTCCCCAATTTTGTTCAAATATTTTTTAACTGGACAAAGGCTTGCAGACTTCCTATATTAAAAACCTCACCGAGGGAGGGTTGACGTATCCCTCAATAGTCCTCTTATAGCATTTGTTGTATGTGCGGTTTAGGAGGGTTTCCAAGTTTGCATTCATTTCGTTTCATTTAGTAATGCAAATCTTTGTAGTAAGCGGATAGGGGCAAACTGATCGCGGATGTTTTGCCGGGGTTAATAAGTTGGGATCTTTATACAGTATATATCTAACTACCACGTGTTGGTAAACGTAGTATTAATTGTTTCTACTCATAAACAAAAACATTTAAATTTAAATTCAACATAACGTAAAATTATTGTAATTAAAAAATCCTAACCAAGTACACAGGTGTTAGGGGACTTATCGTATTTAATTATCTCGCCGCATGGAGGCCTCGGGATCGAGCACGGCGCACGTGCCCCACTTCCGGCCAGGTACGACACGACCGGAAGCGCCGCCATTGCGGAACACTACATTATCCTCGCATCCTATAATCTACGGACAGTACTATAATTGGCATTTACTCTGTTCCTTTATACAGCGCTATTGTGAACAATAACAACACTGATACTTAGAACACGTAATTTTTTTAAAGGGATTAGATTTATGTTCGATAATTTGAACGTCTGATATACCTCTATTAGATTTTTAGAGTTAATGTTACCACTTGTTCCGAAACCTTATCAATTATGAGAGGAATCATTTGATTTATTTTTAAAATTTTATTACGCTCTTTTGCTGGAATATTATTATATTTGCCTACCTCTATCATAGCTTTAAATGTTTGAAAGTGTGGACAACACAGGACTGTACAGATAACTTTTGCTATGAAACCTAAATACATAGCAGATTGTTTAAATAAATTTAATACCATATAGTACTGGTAATCTTAACATGAAACTAACATTCGTAAATGTAAGCATAAAAACTAATCCAGTATTGTTTTGGTAAACGATGTATCCATCTGACCATAAAAACAACATGAAACCTTTTATTACCTATTATGAGTCTTATTTCGTTCTATGGTAAGTCAAAGAACAATGAAAACAATAGGGTGAAAGTGCGATAATTAAGTTTCGATAAATTTTACATGTTCCATTCATTTCATTGTTTTATACATTGTATTCGCGAACTATGCGCAGCGGTGGTATATTTATAGTACAATGGTTGTCTGCAAGAGTTGTTACATACGTAATAAAAATGTTGCAAGACTAGATATTTTAAATGTACTCTCCACCACTTACTATTGCATCCAAGATAATTAAAAAATGGGAATGTGCAAAGATTTTTTTGTTAAACTTTGTTTCCGCCGGACCCACCGCACGTACGGATTAAACGCATTTGTTTTGTCTTGATGCGATACGCGGCGCGGATGACGCAGCGCTATGTAAAATCATACAAAACAAAATAAAATACGCTGCGGGCCGTTCGTGCGGTGCGTCCGGCGCGGACCAATGGACGCGTACCTTTTCAAAGGTACCACAGATTTCAAATAATAAACAAGAGAAAAGCGATATAGCGTAATGTCGGCACATCAACATTAAAAATGTACAAGAATACATATAGCACAA